TTTATCTAACAGAAAATGCAACGATACCAATGATCAATATTCTAACTTCTTTTTATCCGTCTAGTCATGAATAAAATATTCTTATGTTTCAAACATATCCAATGTAGCAACAGTTATTATTAACCGAGAAAATTCAATGCGTTTTTCACACGTTATGGACATCTTCACTCTCCCACATTCATATTAATAATATTTAATGGCACTAAAACGTCCGACAATTTTAACTCCCATCTGAACCTAATATTGTAAAATTTAGTAATAGTTATTATCTCGCTCTGTATACGAAGCGACTCGAATTCGTCGAGGGGTTACGTCGATTAACAGCACTTACGCGGGAAGTCAGCGAGTGCGATTTCGCTTCCAACTTTACGGCGACAAGTTACGTACGTGTGTTGCAGTAATTATTACTTATTAAGATTACGTGAGTGGCGCGCGGAGTCAGCCGAGAGCGCGCGAGTCCGTTGAATAAAGCGCGATCGTCGCGTTTTCACGGGTCACGCTGCTCTTTTTAAGTAATTACATCGAGTGCGCATTGTGCAACGGTGGTTCACCTCGACCGTTACCTCGTGACACGCGTGATCGAGAGCTGCGAGTCACGATTCCGTCGGAAGGTAAATCCAGGCCACACTCGTAAATTTCGCGCGCGCGCGGCTCTCGGGGCGGATTTAACGATTCACGGCGAAATTATGAGTTCGTAGTCGATCGAAACGCGACTCGACGACGGCTTTTAACGGCGTTAATCGATTACCCGTGAATCGCCGTCCGTTTCCTTCGGTCCGTCGTAAAACATAACTTCAACCCTCCCCTCACCAACCCCCTTTTCTCTCCCGCGATCTTCTATTCGAGACTCGGCGCTTGAGCGGCGTGTATAAACTCGGGGACTCTACTGAAATATTTTTTATCGAATTTATATCCCGAGGGAGGAAAAGGGCGGGGAAGACGATATGTTCCGCTAGATTTGCGATTCGCGAAGTGCACGGAGTCGCGGATAACGAGGGGGACGGGGATGCGCGGGGGATATCTTTTCTAAAGACCCCGCGCAAAATTGGCCCGTATCTGGGTTAAGTCGTGGGGGGATCCAGGTATATTTTCTTATTCGTGTGCGTGCTCGTCGACTAATCCGGCATAATCTGTCACGAAATCGCTAAGCCTCGAGTAGCTCGGGCTTACGTGACGTCTCGAAAGCGTCTCGACGAGAGATGGCCGCGATATTAAATCCCAGCTAGGTGGATTTTATTCCGTCGTGGTATACCGAAGGCATTCCTCGTGTACTTATATCCTATTCCGGACATCTCCGATAATATATCCGTCAGTTTATTTCGCGAGGTAAACCATATGTTTCGTATGTGTGTGTGTGTATGCGTGCGTGTGTCGTATGTCTCCGACGATACGGTTTCGTCCTTCCCTTTAATCTGCCAAAATCTCGATATCGGTGATGCCTGATTTTTCATTATCGTTTCAATGCACTTACAGACTCCATTTCCCTGTCTTTCTCCTTCATCTGTGCATCGTCGTGAAGAGAAATCGCGACCCCCACATGGATAGAATTTTTACATAAAGGGAAGCCGACTTTGTTTCCTTTCTCTGTCTCTTTCTCTCTCTTTCTCTCTCTCTCTCTCCATCTTTCCCCCGACCCCTCCCTCTTTCTCACGCGCTTTTTGTTTGAACGCAAAGGCAATTCTCGACGCAGCGAGCCGGCTCTCGGCTCATCGCTGTTTGCGAATCGCGTCCTGTTTCCCGCCGAGAATTTATTTACGCCCGTGTAATTTCTTCGTCCTCACACGGACTTCCTCTCTCCTTCTGCTTCCCTCTCTTTCTCTGTCTTCCTCGCCGTTGCAAACCCGCTCGAAGTTTTACGGGTATTCAAGACGAACGCCTGTCTCCTCATATTTATGACGAGCGCCTTAATGCCCGCGCACGATGCGCCGACACGAACCCACCGCCACGGAGACTTTCAGCGACTTACTCCTCTCGTTATACCGCCCGAAAGATAATTTTCGTCTTAAAGTGACGCATTATACCCGGCGACGTGTTTAACGATGCGCCTTGTACTCGTTTCGTCCCCCGGGGATGGCTCGTTGCGCCATTGCCCGTCCTACAAAAGATTGTTTAGAAAAGGGGCTAAGTGCTTCGCGCGCCGTGCGTTCGCGCGACGGCGCCGATAAAAATGTTTAACGAAGTATTCTTTTATACGTTCTTCGTTCTTTAGGAACTTTCTCCCTCCCCCTCTCTCTCTCTCTATCCTCCCTCTCTCTCTTTCTCTCGTTCCCATACGTTTCGCCTCGTTTGTGACGTTATCCCCGACGACGACGGGCGAGTCAGCGAGAGGAAACGACGTTCCAATTTCTCGTTACACGCACCGCGTCGCGAGCGCATCCGTCGCGCTTTCCCATTCCGCGATATCTCTAATTAAACCACCGGAGAGACGAACGCGCTCGACCAGGAGTCCGTGTTCTGGACGCTTAGCGAACGTCGAAAAATAATTAATACGGTCCTCGAGCTGAAACAACGTTACACGTGACGCTTGTATGAGCAAAAGGAAAGTTGGAATGAAAAAGGCGCATTTGTCGTTCGCTATGCGTTCGGAATAAGGGGCTATTTTAGACGCGCGAATCGAATTAGTAGGTAGGCCTTTCTGATTCTCAAATTAAAGTGTCGTTATACGTGATGTTTATGTGAGATAAACGGAATTGGAAGGGCATATTTAGATTCGTGTGTCCATGATAACACTCCTGAAACCTATTCTGGGAATTGAACACCGAATATTCCTTCCTGATGTTCAAACTGAAATAACGTTAAATATAATGTTCATACGAGAAGAATGGAACTTGGAATTAGGAAGGCATATTGTAGCATTCGCTATATATTCAGAATGAGGTCACGAAAAGCCTATTCCGGACGCATATCGAACGTTAAATATTTGGACACATCGAATATTAAATGTTGGACGCTCAGCGAACGCTAAAGGTGCCTTTCTGATTCTCAAGCTGAAACAACGTTACACGTGATGTTCATATAAGAAAAATGAAACTTAGAATCAGAGGGGCGTCTTCAGCGTTCGCTGGAGTCTAAGAATAAGAATAAGGCCTCGAGATTTATGACGCGTATTTCGCATCGACGCCGCCGCCGGCGCCGCTTTTGCGAACGACGGCCACGCGGTCGATCCGTTCGACGAGGCGAACTCCGCGAACGAAAGTTACGTCCGCGAGATACTTCCGAGGATTCGCCCGCCGGGGATGTGCTCGACAATGGACGCTCTTAAGCTACTGCTGTTAAAAGTCGTTTTAATTCGCGCGAATGAAACTTTACTGTCCCTCGTCGTCTCGTCGCATCGCGTCTCTTCGTAGCTTCATCCGCTCGCGACAACTTGGAAATCTACGGATTTAGCATCCCGGCCGCCGGCCGCGGAGCAAGAAGTTAATGCTGAAAGTTTAGGCGGGAATAAATGTTAAACAGCCGCTCGCTCCCGCTCTTTTTCCATCCGCCGTTTCCCTCCCCCCTGCCCCCGCAAACGTCGTTTTCGCCCTGTTTTGCGAATCGCGGGATTTAATGGAACGTCGGCGGATAACATCTCCGCGTCTGTCAAAGTCGGCGCAGGCTCGGGAATCGATCGGTCGCGGCGTCGCGCGTGCGGAAGGACTGGTAGGAAATTACGAGGATCTCATAAGTCCAGGTGGGAATGAATTTCCGAAATCGATTGTCAATGTCGACTGTCTGTCACGCGTCCCGGGCTTCCTTCCTCCGTGTCGAAAAACGAATGGCGCACGGGAGGGAATTCATCGAATGCGCGGGCGAGAGACAAATTGGTAGAAAAGAACGAATGTTGCGGCGCGCTCGCGCGCGCGTCATTCATGCCAAAATAAATTCTCCGACTTCGCAATTTTCTCACACGTCACGGGAACGAACGACGCGCGATGGGAGACACGCGGCGGCGGCGAAGTGGCGGAATCGTGTGTCAATTTGCGTGCTTCTCGCGCCGCCGATAATCTCCCACGCCCTGTATTTCGCTCAGATATCGAATCGTTCTATCGTCGCGCGATAAAAGGAGAGGGAAAATTCTCTCCGCATTTTAAGAGCTTCGGAATGGATCGTTTTCTTTCTTTTTTTTTCTTTTTTTTTTGCCAAATTTTTTCGTGCATTTCTTCGGTTTCCCGAAGGTGTAGAAGCACGTTTGGAAAAATTCACCTGCGTTTGAATTAAAATCTGCCACGTTTACTTTCTTCCGTAAAGAACCCGGGTAGAAATCAACCGGGCCGCACCCGGAGCCTGTAGCGACCTTCGACAGGCCCAAAATAGACCTGCCTTCGTTAGGATACGGTCAGTCAAGCAAATCTTGAATAGAATTTCGTGAATAGGCCATGAATAGGCAATAACGTGGGTGTCCCTAACAAGGCCTGTTGCTCATAGAACCTAATAAGATAGATTGACCAAACAAGCCCTAAATTGCACAAACGTTGCCATTTCCACGCCTTTCCGGCGCCCGTTTTAAATTTCTACCCGGGAATATACAAGAAACCGAAAAAACTCGCGGAAAAATCGGCAAAAAAAAAAAAAGAACGTGCTCTCCCGAAACTTCGAAACGATAATTCTTTCGACATCAACGGCCCCGAGCTTTAAGCATGACGGAAACATTAATCGCCAGCGTGAAAACGGGGAGGAGGAGTCGCGATCGATCGGATCGGACGAGTATCGACGTAGGCGCGCGCGAGCGCGCCGTCGTCCGATGAAAATCGTCGCGACATTTTTCCCCGTCCGGCGTGGCGTTGAATCCGTGATCGCACGGAAGAGGGAGAGCGGTAGTCGAGCACTCTTATCACGCTAAAGACCCGGCGGCACCCGGCGGTTAGCGAGCCATGCACCAATGAGCGCAATGCACAACGTCGCGCGTACATGCCGACCATTCTAAAATCGATTCTCAATGTTGCTGACCCTCGTGCGCCCACACGTGGTGTCGAACGGTTGGGCCGACGCACGCTACTATTGGACTCGCCGGTTTAAAGAAGGCCGGAACGACAATTGACTCGAGGCGGCTCCATGGCACAAACGTCACCTTCACCAGCCCAGAGTCCCACCTGGTAAGCCTCAGTATCCAAAGCTTGAACGAAAAAAAAAAAAAAAAGATTGAGAAAAAAAGATCAGCAAGCGAAAGAGACGAAGCCGAGAGCTCAGCTCGCGAGCTCTCGCTGGACTGGCCCGGACACGCACCTGTATATAACTAATTGGCTAACTTTCACGCGACAACTTAGCTTCTTAGAGAGGAGTGATCACCAGAGCACCTTCTTCTACTTCTTCTTCTACTACTACTACTATTACTTCTTCTTTATCTTCCTCTCTTCTCTCCTTTCTTTCTTTTTCTTTCTTACTTGTTTCGCTCGGTACTCGGTAGGGTCGATATTCGGATAAAGCGCGCGACCGAATATATTTCGACGACTTCCGGCGGATGGAGCGCGTATCGGAGTGACGTAGTTATTTACTTGCGCGGAAATGTTCATCAACGCGAACAACATCGCGAGTGTCGCCGATTGTCTCGCGGATGCAGCGTAAAATATCGCCGGGACGGTGTCGCGTTGTTTTCTCCACTCGGGTGACCGTTTCCCCGCTGCGGAAACGGTGCTTTCCGTTGTTCCCGCCGACGGGAGCTTGTCGATCGCGAGACCAGTCGATTTAAGGGGGTTACGGAGACGGCCGCTTGAATGATTGATACGGACCTTATGCAACGCGGGCATAGAATTTTAATTAACTTCCTCGTATTGTCTCCGCGCTACTACGATGGATTATTGATTTATCGAGGACGTCTTACAATGTGTCTCGTCGCAGTGACTGCGCTCGCTGTCGTTATTCCGCCGGGAAAAGCGCGCGAACGAGAAGGTCGTGAAGCGCGACGAAGGAATCAGTGGGAGAAGCGGGGGGGGGGGGAATTTCAGTCTTTAATATAGATGCCTCGAATTTCACGTCCGCGCAATATACGCGAGCGAGTCACGCGGAATATTCGCAGCGATCGAGCGCCGCGATATTCGAATACGAGTGCTATCCTGTTTACGAGTCTCGTCCTCTACGTTCTCGACTTTATTATTTCTTTCCGCTATTTCTTCTCTCTTCTCTCTTTATTCTCCACTGTCGGGGAGACACGCAGCTTGTGAGAAGGAGGATTGGTACGACACGAAATCTCGCGTCCGAATTTATGGAAATTTTCGCGTCGACAACATACGCGCGCGGAGGGAGGAGGGAGACCGCTTTCTCTTGCCTCCTCTGTTATGTTCGCTGTTTCGCGAGATATTCGTTCGCCCAAATACTCTCGGGGCCGACTTCTCGCGCTTCCAAGTGTGACGATCTCGCAGACGATCCCACCCACTTGGAATCGCGTAATCGACGCCGCGAAACGAGCTATTATATACATCGCGGGGAGACGCGATTTTCCGATCGGTCTTGGTTTCTCCAATTGACGGTCATGTGATTCGATCGATTAATCGACGGCGTGCCGAACGCGCGGGAGTCGTTTCCTCGGCTCGATCGTGTCGACAATCCCTTCCACGAGCGCTTTCTTGCGAATGGTTAGGAGATCAGCCACAATATGTACATAGTTCACACGCGAATAATATATATATTATATATATAAATACGCACACACAATAACTTGAGCTAGCTCTAATAGGTACACCACTGATCATTGCACATGCACGCAATAATCTACGCTCCTCTCACTGTCATCATCATGCCTGTCATCGGCGCGATTGAGTACCTTTGGAAATTGTAAGAGAGACACAGTCACATTCAAGCCCCGAACGGGAGCTTTTTTCCGTCGTTGTTGTTCCTCGAGAGCTTTGTCAGTTGTGTCAATTGTCCTTTCAATGTAGGAGGACAAAGACGATAAAGATACATTTATACGAACGTTAAGATCTCATTCGTTTGCATTCGAAACTCTATGAAACTTTCACACAGATTCATTAATTAATTAAGTCGACCGACTCTCTCTCGAACAATTAGTCGTCTCGGTGCATCTCGGGCCATCTGAGAGTTTACTTACTTCGAAATGACTGTGAGCGCGATTGATAAAGTCAAACTGTCGGCTCGGGACGATTATAACTTTTGCCGATCGGGACTCGTAACCTCTTCAATTTGCCGAAATCGACCGGGTGTACGAATGCGCGGTCTATCATCTCATCGAATCATCCTCTCTGCCTCACGGAATGAGTGATCAATGAGCGTCTGACAATTGCCTTTATTAGCTCGAGCACCAAGCTGCATGAGGAAAGGAGAACGAACGAAGTGCACCCGCCTGCATGTGACGCCAAAAACTACGTCTAATTATATTTTCAGGACGATTATGAGCAGACCGACGTCGATCGGCCCGCTGTCACGCCGAGACATGCTCTCGTTTCGAGAGAAACAGACGCTGAGAAACGGATCGGGCTGTGTGGCGCGGATCTTTTTTCAAAATCCCGCATTTTGCTACGTGTCACGCAGCACTCTCGACTTCCGAAAGATTCCCATTTCGGAGGGGGAGCGATGCGAATTTCCGTAAAATATTCCGAGACATTTCACAGTGCCACAGCATTCTCGATCTCCAAAAAGCTCCCGTTTCGAAGGGGCGGTGACGTAATATTGTTGAAAAAATCCCGATGTTTTACAAAGGTCACAGTACTCTCGATCGCCGGGAGACTCCCGTCTCGGTGGGATCGAAGAGAAGGGAGAAATTTTGATTTTTGTTGCTGTCGAAAAACTGACTGTCGCGATACACGCAGAGAGCGCCGACAGATGTCTGTTTCACGATTCACAGGCGTGTGTGTAGGGAAAATTCGGATCAAATGAACGGAGACGCTGTAACGAAAACACATTCTGCATCGTATCACTTAATCGCCCAATAGCATTATTACACTCGAACCTTCGAATCCGCTTCTAAGCAACACAACTACACGGTATCCGCAGTATTAACCGGTATCAGCATCGCTCGGTAACGGGAGAAATCCAGAGATATTATCGCGCATCGATAGTTCTCGGATACGGAAAGAGAGATAGACATAGAGATGGAGAGGGAGTGAGAGAGAGAGAAGGAGGGAGAGAATGAGAGAGCGAAAGGAAGAGAGGGAGAGAAAGAGAGAGAGAGAGAGGTTTCAGATCGATCGAGATATACCATAATCGATAATCAGTTGCAGAATCACTTCCAGCCCGTCTCACAGTCGTTTCACACGTACTTACAAATGCGCTATATTCACACATGCGCGCACATGTACACAGGCAAACGAGACACAACGGCAACACACAACGTTAACACGTTCTATTTTGTTCCCCCCCCCCCCCCCCCCACGCGACTAAAGTAGCTNCCCCCCCTCCCCCCACGCGACTAAAGTAGCTCTAAATTCTCGTCTGCTTAAGCCTCGGTGCGTATATACATCGCGCCTAACCACGACACCGATATCGTAATTCTTGCGCAGCTGCAACACGGTGGGGCTCTGGGTAAGAAAACACTTGGAATAACTTTGAATATATATTTCTCGATTACTCCGTGCCAAGAGTCCCCTCTTGCCCCCTTCCGTTCACCCCTTTCTCCTAGCCTCCCGACAACAGCCCCCCCGAGGTACTCATTTCTTATCCTATCTCTCTTCCGAGGTTTTTCCTTCTCCCCTTCTTTTACACTCCTTTTCTCTTGCTTTCTGACGTATACTTTGTCTTTCTCTCTCTCGTCGATACATTCACACCACTTTTTCTCTTCGAGTAACGAAGGAAAGAGCAGAGAGGGAGGACCGAATCATTGCGGAAGTTGTTCCGAAACTTGGCGCGAATATTGCTTTCGGCGATGGAATAGAATGTATTAAAAGACTCGGGGAAAGAGAAAGAGAGAGAGAGGGAGAGAGAGAGGGAGAGAGTTTGTCGAACGCACCGGCGCATAAAAATACCCGCTCCGCGGAACAATTTTTCGGTCGCATTACGGCGACCATTAATTTCATCGGAATTGCAGTTATTATAAAAAATAAACTTTGTAAAATCTCCGCAAAACGGCGCGGAATGCTCTCTTTGCCGTATTTATTAGCGATTTTTCGCCACGCGCGGTTTTACGCGCGGAACAATACAAATTGAATTCAATATTAACTGTCTCCGGGGGGAAAAAAAAGTGCTTCGAATCGCGCGTGCACGCGCTCGTAACGTATTGCGCTTGAAAACACAATATCCACATCGAGTCCGTTCCAGAAATTTTGTTTTCTCTATGTTTCTCCTTTATTAACCGGAATTACGTCGTGTTGTCGCGCGAATTCAAGTTTAATTGGAATCCTTAATAGTCGCAATCTCTCTCTCTCTCTCTCTCTCTCTCACGCTCGCACGTGTCCTCCAGCTTGAGTTTTTCGTTCCATGGACATCCCCCGCCCTCCCCCCCCCCTTCCGAACGCAGTTCCTCATAAACCTCCCCCGCCCGCCGCGAAGTTCGGCGATAACCCGTTGTTGTCCTCCTGCCATTCGACGTTTTTTTTATTCTCCCTCTCCTCCTTTTTCGCTCCACGATATATTCCAGGATCCATCCTGGACACGGACGACATCCGTTCGCCCGCTCGGCCGGTCGTCGATGGAGCTCGCAGGTGAGAGGGATCATTTAATCGATCTTCGTCGCGGCCGGATCCGCGCCCCCGAGCGTGAACACGTGACTTTTAACAAAGCGACCGCGTTACGAAGCACGACAGAGTCAGTGCGGTTGTAAGCCGGAGCTATAACGCGCGCGCATCAGAGACTACGGAGTAGCTTGCAGGAAGCAGCTTGCGGTTTCCGAACTCGGGATAGCTTTGCCCGTGGCGCGCGCGCGCGACGTGCAGACGCACGGACGTGAATTAATATGTACAAAGGTCCCCCCCACCCCCACCCCCCGCTGTCACATGCGGTGTTTAAAGTGACGGATAATTGAGCCGCCGATCGAGACGAATCCGCTATTAATTACCGGAGCTCCGTTAGGTATTCGCGGAGATACGCTCGGTCATCGCTCGCGCGTTATCCGACGCGGTTTCATTTCGACGCTTTCAATCCGTCATTTGGATATCGCTCTCTTCGCATGCGGATTGACTGAAAATATTATTAATAATTTCATTTACAA